GAATAAGGCCCATTACAGAAAAGAAACATAAATAACAAGAAAGAATAAACAACCTATGGGCCATTCGGCCCATCTTCTCTACAATAAGAAAATGACGAATTTCTATGTATGAAAATGAGAATCATGCAACTGAATACGAAATGAATGTTTAGGGGAACAAATTGACTTGTGGAAATGAAAAGATAACAATCTTGTTCTAGGAAGACTTTTGGTGGTGAGATAGACCTTTTAAAGATGCCTTCCCTATTCTGTTTTCCTTATCCTCTAATAAATCTAAACCTATCTCCCACTTTGCTCTAACCTTCTAAAGATGCCTTCCCTATTCTGTTTTCCTTATCCTCTTATAAATCTAAACCAATCTCCCACTTTGCTCTGACCTTTTAAAGATGCCTTCCCTATTNCTTATCCTCTTATAAATCTAAACCAATCTCCCACTTTGCTCTGACCTTTTAAAGATGCCTTCCCTATTCTGTTTTCCTTATCCTCTTATAAATCTCAATTCCTCGAGGCTCTCCTTTTGGTTGAATCCCTAGAAAGTGTGAACCTAGATCCTTCTAATCCTGTAGAATTTGGCACATTTCTACCTTTGGATCTTTTCTTCTGCTCCTTTTATTTTTAATTTTTCTTGATAAATCCTTTTACTTTTAATTCTTTCCCCCTTGTTTATTGCACAACAATCTTTCTTGATGAAAGAGATTTGGATCATACCTGTTTCCACCTAAAATCAATCTGGATCTCCTACCCACAGCACACTACAGCTGTACATTGGGAACATCTCCCATGAATGGTAACATGTAAATACGGAAGATGTTCCCAATGTACAGCTGTAGTGTCCTGTGGGTAGGTGTGGGTAGGAGATCTGAGATCACCTAAAATCAGGGCCCTTATTTGGGAGGTTTAGTACTCTTTACAAAGGAGAAGACCTTCATGGTGTTTATCTCTACACAGGTGTTCTTTGTAAGGCAAGTGGAGAATCAATTGTTTACCTATTAATCTCCCGTTCATTTGTTGCTAGTATTTGGGGGTGGTTCTCTACTCTCTTTGGTTGCAAAGTAGGCCCCTCCTGATGTGATGGATCATTTTAAAGCTTCTTTCTCCGCTTGCCTAGAAGAAGGGGGAAAATATTGTGATGTACAAGGACAGTGATCCTTTGGCTATATGGGAAGAAAGGAATGTAAGAATCTTCATAAATAAATAAATATATAAATATATATAGGTGGTGCATTAGATCAAAATGATGAGGATTTTGAGCCTTTCTATCTAGATGACATCCTAAAAAAAAATAGCAATCAATGGCCTCTTCTTTTTCGGATAAATTGCTGGCTGTTTGGCAATGGATTCTGCCTAGTCTAAATCAAATTAAACTAAACTTTGGCAGCTGTAGCATGGGCAACCCAGACCCATCGGAAGCACCGCAAGGGCATAGCTGATGGTGGTGGTTCAAGGGCTATGGCTGACAAGATCTCTCAACATCAGATCCTTGTTGGTGGAAGGAGACTCAAGGGTAATAGTGTGTTGGTTGAAGGAATGGTACAGGAATTCTTTCAAGGGGATAAAAGTTTTAATAAGAGACGTGAAAATTGAATACACTTTGATTCATAGATTAGTTAATTCTTTGGATGATGCTAAATGAAATACAATCTGGAAATATTGGGATAGGTGGCATATACCAGCCTTATATGGGGCTTCGGGGTAGCTTGTATGTAAATTATTCTGTCATTTTTCAATGTGCCTGATAAGATTACAATTGATTGAAACAGAAGGATCTTGAACTTGGTTGAAGGGACAATGGATTTTTCTTTCCAATATTTACATGGTATTTTTTTTTTCTTTCTTTCTTTTGGGGAGTGGGTAGGTGGGGAACCTGCTATAGATAAATAATGAAATCCATAACCTCAAAGTGGCTCTACTCATGAGTAAAGAATGAAAAAGCTACCAAATGTTCATATTGCCAATATGAAGACTAGATGATACAATCCATTACTCAAACACCCTTCTCCTACAGGAGATAATATTCTGAACAAACAGAAAGAAATATCCAATATACCCTCCTAAAAATGAAAAGCCTTTTTTTTCTATTTTGTGCAAAAAATATCAATATAAAAATCAATATTGTCATTCTTTCTGCAGCCTTTTTTTGTATGGTAAGGAAGTTAGATTGAAAGAGAAACACAGACTACTAGTTGTATTAGAGTTCTCATATGGAAGTTGTCTATCTTCACTGATTCAATTCAAATATATCAAATTTTCTCCTGCCAGTGACCAATCATCCGCTTCCTAATATGAATGATAAAATAGTTGTCAAGGCGATGCCTAGGCAACGGCCAACAAGACGCCAATAGGGTCACCTTGCCCAAGCACCTAGTTACTTTTGTACAAGGTGCCATATAATGTTTTTGTATTTTCTGTTTTATGATATTAGGAATATTACAATAGACATTTTTTTTTATTGGAAACGATAACTTCATTAAAATTAGAACTATGATAAGGTATATCTGTCAACTCCTAAGAAGAAGTTGACCCAAGTTACATATTCATTACAGCACTGCCCAAAACATGTTCTCCCTTACACTCCCTTGTTTTGCTAAGGTATCCGCTAGCCCATTATCTGACCTTCTTGTCCACTTAAAGCACACACTAATCTTCCTCATTATATTCATTATTTCCCTTATAATTTGTCTATATTTCCATGCTCCCAAACAACCTGACTGCACCCACCCCATTAACAGCTTAGAGTCCCCTTCAATCTCCATTTGATGTAGTCCCAAATGTTTGGCATATCTTATGCCTTGAAGTAAAGCCATCACCTCTGCTCTTAACGAATCTCCTTCTCCTATTGGCCCCAAATACATGGCAATAATTCTGCCTTCCCCATCTCTAAATACTCCCCCTATACCTGACGGGCCTGGATTACCTATAGAGCTGCCATCAAAGTTCAACTTTGTGCTTTGGGAAGTTGGCGAGGCCCACATTTCCTGCACCACAGGCTTTAGGGATGTAGTACTTGCCACCTCACCCCATCTTCTGTAAATGTCATCAGCTGAAAAGTCCTTAAACAGCTCACTTGTTTTCAACCAGTTATTAACCTTAATGGTTATTCCTTCTATAATTTCCTCCTTGGATCTTTTAGTATTCTTAAAGATCCTATTATTTCTTTCTTCCCAAATTGACCAAAGAACAGCTGCTCTTGTAGCTCTCCACATTATTCTACCCCGCTTTTTCGGTTGCTTGTAAAATTTTGGGTCAAAAAGGCTTACCACATCCGGGGGAGGGGTCCACCTACAACCAAAGAGAGAAGAGAAGCAAGACCAAATAAAAGACACAAAAGGACAAGATATTAAGAGGTGTGTGATTGTCTCACCAGAACCCAAGCAGAGGCTACAAACATGGGGTGAAAGGCAAAGGTTTGGCCTTTTTCTTTGCAACAACTCCAAAGTAATGATTTTTTGGAATGCAACCTCCCAACAAAAAGCCCGAATTTTTGGAGGAACAGGACTACATGAAACCTCCTTTATTGGAAAATTCCCTACAAGGTTAGAGGACTGGAGAAGGACATTATAAAAAGAAGCACAAGTGAAGACACCAGAGGGGGAGGGTTTCCAAATTCTGCTATCCAAACAAGACTGATCCAAATAAACCGGCCCTAAGAGAGCAACAAGTTCATCCACCATCTCCATTTCCGACTCCCTTAACCCTCTCTTCAATCCCAAATTCCAAGAATTAATAGACTAGATTATTCATTTTGTGGGTTTATAATATTTCCATAATTCTTAAAAAGGGAAATTTCGAATTTCTTTAAGACATAGCAATAGAAAATAAATTTCTGCTGCATTCATGAACTCCAATCCAACATGACCAGGAAATGTTTCAAAATCTGACCATAGTTACAAAATTCCCAACTGCACAGAGCAGAAGAGCATCCAGGATGAACAAATAATGTTAGCGACCAGTTAAGGTTATAGGAGAACAGAGAAAACCAAGAGAAAACCAAGAGATAGAAGACATTAGGGAGAGTGAAGTGAGAGTTGCATTCCCTCCCTCTAATCCCTCTTCATTTCTATTACTAATGAAAAGGAAAATACAAAAAATACAATAGTGCCCTTTAATGGGGACAATACCTACATAACAGTATTTCTAATAGCACTCCCTCTCAAGTTGGAGCATAGATATCCAGCATGCCCAGCTTACCAAGAACTGTAGATATTGAACTTCCAAACTGTTTTTGTTAAGACATGAACCAATTGAAATAGTTTCTATAAATGTTAAATGGATTGCCTCTGAAAGGGAACAAGAGAACTTTGTACTCTAATAAAAAATTAAAAAAAAAAAGATGGGTAATGCTTGGAAGTGAATTTAGCTCCCTTGTGTAACTTTGGAGTACTTGGCACAGTCTATCTTGTAATATAATATCTACTTTTTTTTTAAAGAATTAATAGAGTGTGTATTACTATAATGAAAGGAAAGAAAGAGGAGAGCGAGAAGCCCTCACCCTGATACAAAAAGAGTGTCTGTATCAATATGCATAGAACATATACAATCAGCAATACACAAAATATATACAATATCTACTATTCTTTTTCCATAAATTAATAAATTTTCAAGTTGTCCATCAAAAAAAACAAAAGTTCATTTTTGTAATTAACGTTAAAAGAAAATTACATCATTCCGAACCACAGCAGCATGTGATACTGCCCAACCTATAGAATGAAGCTTTCTACATAATGATGGTCCCAGTTGGTCCTCAGCAATGCCAAACCTGAGCTATGGAAACAGATAGAAAAGCATATATCAGAAACATAATTTAACAAGTAACAAGAAAATTTATAAATGTTGACACAGAAATTAACATAAATGCAACCACTTGAAATCCCAACTGTTTGTACCAAGATAATTCTCACCATGCCATCATGACTCTATTTTCCAAGAAATCCCAACTGGTTCACTATTTAATTGTCCATGAGCTTACCCCCCAAGTTTCCTTCAATACCTCCTTTCTGCTTTTATCCTTATGAACTTGTTACTAGTCAATTTCAACATTCCCAACTTATGTAGAGAGAATAAAATTGTCCCAAGAGTACAAGGAAGAAGCTTGTCCCACAAAAGACTCTAACAGGTTGTGCATAGAGTTTAAGAGGGTTTATGTGTAGTTAAGGGAATTGAGATTGGTCCTACTCCCTTGTCTACATCCTCCATGGAGTACTGGGGTTCCTTGTTGGGGACCATGGTGATTGATTCACTCAGTTATAGTGAGCATAATTAAAGAGACAGGATGAAATTGTAAAAACAGATCAGGGTGTATTGTAATGCAGTGTCATATGATTCATATCAAGAAAACATTCAGATTGGGTGGTGCATCATAATACAGTGTCATATCAAGAAAATACAGATTGTGGGTCAGTTGGTTTAAAGTCTAAAGGTTATTTTGATTTAAAAATTCAGTGAACATACTATTTGATGTTTAATGAACTGGGGAATTTTCAACTTTGTTTAAATGTTGTTTTGATCAGCCTTGGATTTATTCCAGATTTGAAAATTGTGTCAGATTTTTTATATCTGTCTTTAAAAGAAACCGTGGTATATCATGACACGCTATATTATGATACACCCTCATCTCTTTAAAAGAAATATGCAGAGAAGGTGAGTTTTGGGAAAGATCTTTCCACAGTTCCAATTAAAAGGTTTCAATCATTAAGAACCAGAAAATTAGACTCTCTTCCTGAGCAGGCCTATTTTTCATTTTCCTAGGCATCCTTTTCGGGGTTTTTTTTTTGATAATTGAATAAATTTTATTAGATACCAAAGATAAGAAGTACAGGCATCCCAAGGAGAGGCATGAGATGCGACCTCTCCAGAATATTCAGATACAGCTTTCCCTACTTAACCATTTAACATCCACTCTCATAGTTCTAGTCAGGTCTCTATATCCCCATATGGCAGTGTACGGATTTAACAGCCACTCTACTACTACTTGAGAATCTCCTTCAATTAGAAGATGTTCCACCCCAAGCTGGTTAGCAACCTGAATCCCTTGGCTAGTAACTCAGCTCTCGTAGAGTCTCCCACTCCCACCTGTCTTGAGAATAATGTGATAATGTTGCTGTCCTTATTCTTTAGCACACCCACCCCCTTACACCCAAAGGCCCAAGATTACCTTGGCTGCTCCCATCAAAGTTCAATTTAATGACACCTTCTGGGGGAGGTTCCCACTCTACCATGCTTCTATTCTTTCTAGTGGAAGTGTTAGCCACTTCTAGCCAATTTCTCCAAAGATCATCGAAAGAGAATTTGGCAAACAGGTACAAGGTCTTCAACCAATGGATTACTCTAGTTAAGATACAGTCCTTCACTTCAGACAAGCTTCTTTCCTTCTCTAGGAAGGTTCTAGCATTCCTTTCCTCCCAAACAGTCCATAGTATAGCTGCCCTGATACACTTCCACATGATTTTACCTCTTCTCGTGTGCCACCTAAAAGTAGATGGATTAAACAACATACTTACATCAGATGGCGGGTTCCACCTACACCCAAATAAACTAAAGCTCCAACTCCATAAGGCTGTAGCAAAGGAGCAAGAAATCAGTAGATGGAAACAGTTCTCATTTTGGGCCTTGCACAGGAAGCACCAATTAAGGGAAAGGCATAGATAAGGTCTCTTCTTTTGCAGGTTTTCCAAAGTACTGATTTTCCCATAGAAAACTTCCCAACAGAAAACAACAATTTTGGGGGGAATAGATCTTATCCAAACTTCTTTAATAGGGAACACCCAAGGGTTAGGATTGGCCATGAGGAATAGTTCCTTTTGGAGGTTGGGGG